GGCCCAGCCAACAGGCTGGTGCGGAGGGAAGCGCTGCGGGGTACAGGGCGGGAATGCCCGGCCTGGGATGGTTCAGGAACCCTGCGGCGGCGCCAGTGGGCAAACCCAGCCTGCATGTCTCAAGGGACGGTACCCCCAGCTAAAAATGGCCTTTTTTGTGTTTCTCTTTGCTTTTCACTTCGAAAGAATAGTCAGTGGAAGGAGGAACAGAGGGAAGTAGCGTTGTGTATTTAAATACTGTTTTTTCAAGCAGTATCTATTAACTATTGTATGTGCCTGACAGCAGCAGGATTAAAAAAATAACCCATCTATTTAAAACAAAGACGTATAACGTAGACAAACAGCCTTCCCCCTGCAGCCCACATCATATCCAAGGATTCATCAGTGACTTCCAAGCAGATGATGTGACCTTTGCTAGAAACACCATTTACCTCAAAAATTAAGTCTCAAAAGGTGATTGTAGTAAAATCTCAGCAACAGAACTGAAGAATAGTTTGTATCCAGCTGTGAAGAAACAGGCTGTGAGAGAGAGCAAACCTGTGCAGTCTCTTCTCGGCAACATTTCTAGCAAACAAACCAACCGTGGGGAAGAACATGAAACACCGACAGCAGAATATGAGGTCAGTGGAATGGCCTTAGACTTATTCAAGAAAAGACATCAAAGACTTGTGGGCATTGTTGGATGCAGGATGAAACCCACCAATTAATACAGGGTCACTAGACAGATATATTTTGCCCGAAAAGGCTTTGTGCTTTTTTAAATGGCTTCTATTATGATTGACCCAGCATTTATAAACAAAGAGAGCCTTAAGATGACATACAAGCTGTCTAACCTGAAAAGTAGTGACAGGACGAGGGGTAATGGGTTTAAATTGAAAGTGGGGAGACATAGATTGGACATCAGGAAGAAGTTCTTCCCGGAGAGGGGGGTGAGGCACAGGGACAGGTTGCCCAGAGAAGCCGTGGATGGGAAGTGTTCAAGGCCAGGCTGGATGAGGCTTTGAGCAACCTGGTCAAGTAGAAGGTGTCCCTGCCCATGTCAGGGGAGTTGGAACTGGATGGTCTTTAAGGTCCCTTCCAACCCAAACTATCCTGTGATTATATGCTTGCCTCAAACGAAAGGGACATGTCAAAGCACTGGTACAAAATCAGAGTTAATGTTTGGCAGCACTACGAAACAACAACTGAGGCATTCTTTGCTTAAAATAGTCTGTGCAATATTGCTTAACATAAAGACATTTATGTTTTAACAGTTTGAATCCACAAGATGAACAGGGGTTACTAACAGACTTGGGCTTATTTCCTTTAAAAAGTAGGAATTTTGAATATGGACAGATCGT